AGCTGCTGCCTAACTCAGAAAGTGGCTAAACTCCAGGGATGCCTCAGCAGTCAATACCAAAGTTTCTCAGGTACTGAAGTTCTGCTTTGGCAGTTACCCAGAAACAAGTCAGTCTCAACAGAGTTGATCAAGATTCTCTGGGCTAGAGAGAAGATGGTTCAGTATTTCGAAAGCAATTCTCTATTCAGCATGCTGTATTTTGCGGACTATGTTCTGACGTTCCAAGTTCTTCCTATGCATTGCCTAGGGAACCTCTGTACCTAACTCCAGGCTACAGTCTCCACCATAAGGAACAAAGCATTTAAGAGTATATCTGTACGACACAGTGCAGTACTGTGCAGCGCTCCCCAAGCTAGCCTGAATAACAGAGGCAGTACAGTCACAACAGCATGGCACTTCAAATTAGCTTCACTGGAAGCAGGTTACCCTACCTGGGATGAAAAGCCACAGTAATGCAGCTATACAAGCGTCCAACACCTGAGCTAGCTCATTCAGAATTAGCTCAGGGAGCTCTGCAAAACATTCCTTTGTGCCTGTAGATGTACCTAAAAGTTACACTTTAGTCTATTTTATATTTGACTCCAAAGTTGTAAAGCCCAAGGAGAGGGAGCACCAGAATCAAACTAAAGACTGAAGTAGTTTTAGTAACTTTACCTCCTTTCTCAGCCCTCACAAAACCCAAAGGAATGGAAATTCAAAACTGTCATACAAAAATATTCAAGATTGTAATACCAAAATCAGATGCAAATTTTAAAATGGATGTAATTATTAGGTATGAGGTATTTTGATTATTTTTTTGGTTTTTATAGTATTATGCTTGAAACCTAATTAACCAACATATTTTATCTCTTCCTCTTCCTACCACCACTTCATGAATCACATTAAAGAAGTGAATGTCTCCATCAACCCAATCACCTCTGGTAACAATGAAATCATTCCCCTCTTGGATCTCCTTCCAAACACACTCCTTGCTTCCTTTCACTTTTCATGCTGTTTATACCATTCACTGTTACAGCCTGTCAAACAATTTGTTTGCAAATAAATTATCCTGCCTTGCAAATGCTGCATAAAAATCCAGAGCATGGTGTTGCCTTCAGTCATAATACCAATTACTAGCCGGAAGTTAAAAAGTCTTACATTTTGAAATCAAAGGGTGAACTATGAAATGTTTCTTTAGTCTATCACTGAGCTAATAGCATAAGGTTTTAACGAATACTTTGATTATCTGAAGCAACTGTACACATCCAGCACCTGGAATCCCCAAGTATTTTTCATTGTGAACTTGCAATTTCTTTCTCCTTTGCTAAACAAATATGATCACTGCAAATATCCAAAAGTAATTATTTCACTCTTGTGTGTAGCAAAGGACAATAAGAAACCAGCCAAGGGAGTTAAGGCAGGAAAGCAGAAATAGGACTGAAAGGATTTAAACATTCTGCTATAACCTGAATATTTCCATCTGGATTGGGATGGTTCTAAACCCATGAGAGTCTGTTCCATTTGAACTGAATTTTCTGTTTCTTCAATTTTAATTTGCAAAAGGGGCTTACAGAGCTAAGGTTTTGGGCTTGGTTGGTTGAAGTGCCACTGTCAAAAAATATTTAGTGGACTCTATTTGAAGGCTACACAGTCTTTGCAAAGCAACAAGAATAAAGCCCAGCCATGCACCCATGCATTTTTAGGAGCTCTACCATGCTATACTGCCAATACAAAATGTTACATGCAGCTGTGTCAGTGTGAAGCTCAAGGCAAGATTGAGGTACAAGATTTCTAACCTCCTTCTCTCTTTCTGATCTTCTAGGGTCCTTTCTAGCCTTTCTCCTCTGGTTTTTCTTATCTTTTTCTTCCTTGATTTCTTTCACCAGGGCAACCTTCTCCTTGACTATTCCTGAGGTATGTGCTGTATGAATACTCATTGACCAATCAGAGATTGTATTAGCATTCCAATAAGAGTTGGCAGGATTGGTAGGGAGAAGGAAAGAATTAGTTCCCGGTGTTGCGTACTCTACAGAGCTGGAGTCCACAGGTTGAAATTCATAATAATCCCACTCGAGGCCACTGGAGGTCATTCTTCAACTAATCCTTATGTCTTTTACTGTGTTTTAAAGGACAGTATCTACAGAACATGAAGTTAGTACTTTAGACTCCCAACAATATATTCTGTACAGCTCAAATACAACTCCAATTTTATTTTTTTAAATGAAGTAGACTGTGTCAGATTTTTAGAATGAAAGAGGATAATTTGCATGTGTAATCACAATGATTCTCTACACAAATGGTATGTTACACATTTAAACAAGTATTTTTAAAAAAATGAAGTATACAAATTCTTCCTCACATGAAGAATTTAAAAAGTGGGGCCTAAATAAATATGAATATGAATACACACACACGCATATATATAGGCATCCTTTTCACTGATATTGTTCATAAATATAAATAAATAAATAAATAAATATATGAACAATATCAATGAAAAGGATGGCTGTTATGTGTATGTGTTTATGTAAAAGTTAAATGTTTATATATGTTTATTTGATGTTGAAACTCCTCACTGCCAAAGGAATAAAGTGCTCCTTCCTTCGTTTATAGCAAACAGTAAATGCAACTTAAGATAGAATGCTTGAATTTACATATTTAAAGGCAATGCAAATGCTTCTTTCTGGTACATATCAAAAGTGCACCACAAAATGAATTACACAAAGAGAAATTATAGGTGGGAGAATTTCTTTTTACCTATCTGAAAGTAAAACCAATATATTTTAGCTTACATATTTAATCTTAGGCAGTCTTGTGAAAATTCTTGACTGAGTTTTATTCTCCTTCCCTCTTTGCTACAAGAAGCAAATGGAAATACAAATCCTCAGAATTAGTAATAATTCCTGGAGCTCTTAGGATGTACCCAGTACTATACAAGGATCTCACAAGTAGAATTTCAATTTTATAACATCATATTCACGAACAACCAAGATTCTAGTCTTTTAAAATTAGTTACACTGCACACAGTGTGGTATCACATTGTCATAAGCCAGGACCTGGAAAATGTGAGAGGAGAAGTGAACAAAGGTCTTTATGACCTGAATATATCTGAAGTGCAAGACACATTTTGGCTATAATAATGCTAACTTCAGATTTATTTGTTTTCCAACCCGCCTACTACACCAGCTTTCTTTAGAATACAGTTATACCTACAAATAGTCCAGGTTTTGTAACTATCACATTAAAAATGCATACTACACTCAGAAACAGTTTCACTGGAATCTCAGTTTAAAAACAAATATTGGCAAAACTTGGATTCTTAGGCTAGCAGCCTATATTTATCAGAAAACCTGACAGCACTTGTATACCTCCAGCAATTTTCTTATTCCAACAGTACTCTTTTCTGCAAATGTTAGGATCTGAAAATTCTGTACAAATATTAATTAAACAGGTCTCCAAATACACCTAGAAATTAGCCCAATTTTACAGATGGGTAAATTAAGGGTATGGACAAACAAATTACACTGAGTTAAAAGTGGGGGGACTTTCTGTGCATCAGCTGCTCTGAATTTAATATTTTGCATCTGCTCTTATCCCACAGTAAATGAAAGCTAAGAGGGGCACGTTATTCTAGAATGAAACAGGGCTAAGATACCATGATTTAGCTTTCCCTTTCCACACGACAGAAGCAGCAGACACTTGAAGCAGTTATCACAGAGTATCTAACCTACCCTCCTTTGAAATTGGTATTGATAATACTCTGAAGTAATGAGAGGCTAGGAAACTGAATTACTGTTGAAAGAGTAAGTTCCTCAGAGTAAGACTGACTGTATGAAAACATAGGTTACAAACCTGCCAGAAGCTGACCTAAGCCTCTCTGTGAGTCACTGGCAAGGCTGGAAGTACCTTTGGGTCAAATTTTTAAAAGGTATTTAAAAGTATACCTAAGGATTACAAAATACTTAAGGATGTAGACAGGCACCCAAAGGGAATCAACTGCCTTTTGAAAATCCCACTATATGCATATTCTCAGAGACAAAAGAGCCAGGGCCCTGGGTGGCAGGGGCTGGACTGGCTACAGCAGCAGCTGTTATTCATGCTCTGCAAGTGTGCACCTGGGTCTGGTGCCCTAGTCACCCACCACTTATTACACTACTTCTTATTTCATCTGCACTTTCAGGCAAAATTACATGAAGTCATAGGAATTAGCTGCTAGGACTCTGGAACAGGTCATGTTTATTTCAGTCCTTTGAAAAGCATCAGCCTAAATCCTCCTTTGTGAAAGCAAAATTCCCATAATGAAAAAACAAAACGTTCCTAGGTCCCACCATCAGAGACAGGTCTGCTCAAGCATTCTCATGAATTTTAAGTGATATTAAGCAATGCAAATTATTTGGTTGGGGTTTTTTTAATTGAAAAGTATCATCTGCTAATTTTAAATCTGATCACAGATAACTTGCACTTTCCAGTTATCATCCAAAGGTCATGAGACACAGATTATACCCCCTGCAGCAAGCAGGATATGAATCTCCAATTTGCTGCAGCTCTGTACAGCATTTCAAGGTGACTGCTCAATTATGTACACACTCTGGAATATATGCAGAGAAAAGCATCTCCTGCATTCTGAAGTCTTCTCTGTGGCAAACATTCCTGGTAGATTATGTCAGGTACCTAAAGTACTTCACTGGGGCTCCCATATGGCACAAATGACCTCCCATTTTACTGGTGTATCAAATAGCAGTCAACACCCTTGATTACTATTCATACAGAGCTGCAGTAAAAAAGGGATCTTGCAAAACTCTGCCAGGGAACTGAGACACTTGTTTCCAATACTGATTTCACTTGGTCTGCTTCCTCTACAGTTTTGTCTGAAATTCTTCAGAATGAGAAACTATGGTGGAGAGACTTGGGGCTGTTTTAACCCCTCTTTTAAGAAGCTGACTTCTAAAACAGTGAAGAAATAGGATTACTAATTGACAGAGCATATATCCCTCATTATAAGGACAGGGACATCTACTTACATCATCCTGAATATCAAGGTCACAGCCTGCCTTCAACAAAATCTGGACAACACGGAGATGGCCCTTATGGGCAGCAAGATGCAACGGGGTCCGGCCATGCTAGGAAAGAAAAAAAAAGATTTTTGTACACTTTAAGGCCAAAGCTTAATACATGCTAGATCACCAGATACTATCCCATGTCTCTCCTGCCTTTATGTATATGCTCACACCTCCTTTTCTGGACCTACCAATTATCACAATGGTTGACACATTATTTATAAGAATATTTCCATTATTTTTTGTGCATGCTGCAGAGTTGTTCTTCCCTTTCTGCATGGGTTTATTGGAACCAGCACTTGTGACAGTATTTTTCAGCAGAGAATACTATACATATCTACAGTAAGCTTCCTTGTGAACTCCAATACAGCTTTGTATACAGTTTTTCAGTAGAATACATGAACCATCTGCTTCTATCCTTTCCACAGGAAAACCCCTGACCATCTGCACACAATTTTATTATTAATTTACTAGTTTAACATCTTTGAAAACCACCCTACAAGGTAAGTTTGCTATGAAAGGGATCTACCAAAATTGTGATTGTGCAATATTTGCAGAAACCACAATTTTGGGTGGGCTCTGCAAAAAAGTGCAGGCTCAACACTTTAGGTGGGCTTGCTGCAAAATAAATAAATTAACTTAAGCATGTTATTAAGCATGGATTAATCACTTCCCTGGGCTTTATCAGGGTAATTAAGCCACGGTTTGAGGCCATCCTGAAGCGGTGAACTCTATGCTTTTGGTGGAGCATATTCACTCCAAAATAAATAAATAAATAATTTTACTGGCAAGAAGAAAAAACACGTGGAAAGTCCTGCAGTCTTGGAGCATGGGAGGGAAGGCAGGAAGGGAGAGGAGGGGGGAAGGAGGGAGAAAGGAGGCAGGGAAGAGGGTGGGAGGGAGGGAGAGCGATTCCCAAAAGTGGGGTCGGGAGGGGAGAGTATGGATAATACAAATGCTGAAACAAGAGTAGGGAAAGGAGTGGGTACATAGGACTGGAAGTGGGATTATGCAAATGGAGAATTGGGGCTATGGAAGGGAGGCGGGGTTATGCAAAATGACAGGGAATGGAATGGAGGCAGGGGGCAGGATGGGGCTGCCTCTGACCCCCACTCTGCCCCCTCTGCCTTCCCCCTGTGCTCCAAGACAAAGGCTTCCCGTGCACTTTTCTCCTTGCCCGTAAGTTTGTCTATTTATTTATTTTGGAGTAAGCCCACCAAAAGCATGGAGCTCGCCACTTCGGGATG